CTTTCTTTCTGTCTTTAATTCTGACGTGCCTTTCTCTCCTTCGGCCCTAAAACCCAGCAAAAACCAGAACAAAAACCAACACACAAACAAAAAACAGTAAGATTGACCTAGCTCGCTCACTTCTAGAAATCCCGCCCTGCCTCGCGAGCCTGCGAGGCCTCTGACCGCTGCTTACCTCAGCTTCCCAATTCTTTCTGCTGGGATTGCACCATGAGGCTTGAGTGGATGTAGATTCAAGGATCAAGGGGTGTTTTAGGATTTGTGCTTAGGTTTGGGGCTTGGGGGCATTGCGGCTTCCGGGCTTGATTTTGGCGGGTCTTTGAGGCTTCAGTGACTACAGTGCTTCAGGAAATAGACGTTTGCAATGTCAGGGCCTATGCAGCCTATGCACCATCACATCCGGTGATAGACGCTAGCACCCGCCTGACTAAACAGTTCAAGCAGCGTTCTTGCCAGAGCTGTACCAGCTCGTCTGCTTCTGCCTGGAAAGCCAGTACTGAGGCTAGTTCGGTTGACCATCCAGCACTCGCAGCAAGGAACATACGAGATACGCAACATACTACGAAGATTGGTATAGTGCTCAGACGTTAGGCCGATGGTGGGTCCGCGCACACTTTGCACTGCAGAGCCCAGGGCACTGCAAAACTTTCATGGCTCCCGCGAGGATTTGACAGGATTTTTCCGGGTCACTAGATACCGAACCCCGTGCCTGCAAACCCACTACAGAAAGAGTGTACGGTGCACCTTGCATGGCACAACACACCATGAAGATGATATGGGAATGATATGGGGCTGTGCTCTGATTTTCAGACTCCGGCGTTCAATCAAGGTTTAAGAAAGTCAGGTGAAAAGCATGGAAGACAGCCGGCCACTCGACCTGCCCTCGACTGGACCCAGCGGCTGAAGCTCCACCCAGCCGGTGCCATGGGAGGAGCCTCCGCCCGGCCAGCGCGCGGTGGCGCGAGCCAGGCCTTCGTACTTGAAAATCTTCCCCAGGCCCACCTCCTGCTCAGGCCACTGCACCTCGAGCGACACCTGGGCGTCCGGGTTCTTCATGGTCACGTCGTAGGACAGGTAGTAGCGGTCGTGGCTCGCCGGACTCGTCCAGGGCTGTCCCTTCGGAGAGATCTTGACGTTGTCCAGCGTCCAGGTCGTACGGTTGTCGCCGCTTCCCTGGAAGAGGCTTGCTTCTTGAAAGACACCGTCGGCTGTGTTCACCGCCGTGATCATCATCGCGGAGCGGACGTCGGGAAACTGCAGCGCGAAGAATTGCCAGCTCACGTTCTTAAGAAGTGCCTTGCCACTGTTGTCGTAGGTCTGGACGACGTAGTCGGACCAGAGCATTCCAGATTTTCCTGAATCCACGACCTTGCCCGCCTGCTGAATCTCGAAACTCTCCACCTGAAGGAGGGGCATTGAGAAGTAGTAAGAACCCTGGCAATCCAGGGTCGCATTGGGCGTCCCGGCCAAGTACCGGTCGACTGCCCCGCCGAACTTGGAGTTTGCTGCATCTCTCTGCTCCTGCGAGAGCCAGTTGGGCAAGAAGCCGTCGGGTCCGAAGCCCTGGCGCACGACGCCCATCATGTCCCTGAAGCGCACCACAACGTCGAAGCTCTTCTTTTTGGAGTGGAGCTTCAGGTCGTACTCCACACCTGCCTGCCCGGGAACCGCGCTCTCTCCGACTGCGGAGACGGAGAGTTCGAAGCCCGAAAGCAGCGACGAGGACTGGGCGGTCCAAGGCTTCTTCCCATCGCCTCCTTCTACGGTCGCACTGACCGTCACGCTTGCATCGATGTCGTAGGTTTGGATTGTCTTGGTGTTGAAGCCTCCACCAAGTTCGTAGACCGGCACGATGGAGAGGAAGGGAGGCACCTTTTGAATGAGGAAAGTGAGAGCATAGGTGTCCTTGGCACCGACGAGTCCTCCAAAGAAGCAGTAGGCGTTAACACCGTGCTCTTTGTGGAGGCTTCTGAAAAAACCGAGTGTGTCGAACGTCGCTGTCGGGCTATACTTGCAGCACTGATTGGCTGCCGCGCTGCAGTATGGAGCAAAGGCCAGTATGGCGAGCACGGCGTAGCGGCAGCCGCTGGAGGTAAACATCCCTGTTTATGAACCAGGAACACTATGATGAGAGAAGAAGCAGCTGCGAGCAAACACGGCGTTCAGAAACTTAACAAATGAACAAAGCTGGTCCTCCTCATGCACAAGAGACCGCGGTGTGCTTGTGGCAGCGCTGAATATTAAAAGATTCACCCAATTTGGGCCCCGCCCAAGTTCCCAGCCCCATCGGCCATTTGGGGCCTGCGTCTTGGCGCCGACCAGAAGCCGATCGCCTTCGTGCAGCTCTACAAAGCGGCCGTCTCCTGGCTCCAGTCTCCGATTTTGGGGGTGCTCGTGCTGTATAGCCTGCAAGGAGCAATTCCTAAGGATAGTGCATATAGGTGTCATTGTTCAGAGAATCATGACTGTACTGTGCCTCAGCGTGGTTGGGCTACATCCATATTGTCCATATACATCCATGCCCATCCACTCCTTACTGCTCTGGTAATAGTCTTGCTGCCCCCAAATACCGCTGGTACAACAATTATGATGGCTGCCATTGTTGTGCTTCTTCAATCTTCTTCCCCGCCTCCGATGTGGGTGCGTAGAACTGCACTTCCAAAAGTGATAGATCGTCGTGAGGTGGCTCTGCCGTGTTTGCCCAAGCCCAGGTCTAGGCGTGGAGAAATGAAACCGCACTGAGCTACCAGACATATTGAACCAACCATGCTGATTCCGCATGATAAGATGTGTCCATCAAACATGACGACTACTCCGTCTGCTGATGGCTTTCGACTGCCCTCTGCTGCACGAGGCTAGAAATGTGAGGCGGCCCTGATCGTGAAGGCAACCCAAGGTGATCCAAGATGGTCCGTGCGTCCTTGAATCGGAGTTTCAAGTATGATTCTACCCTCGAAGACCTCAAACCCAAACCTTCCAAACTCTGAGTAGTAATGTAAGCATAAACGCTGAGTCCGAAATCCTACGCCCCACACCAGAGCCCCGTATCGCACCTCCCTACCACAAATCTCAAACCCTCTCAATCACTTGCTCGAACCTCTACCAAAACAACCGAAGCCGATCTGCTAAAGCCCCAATCAACTCTTGTTGCCCGACCCTGTAAAGTTTTGTAGAACCCATACGGACATCTTACACGTCCAACCGGAGCCACATAGAAACCTGATAGGAGCCTATAGAACACAGAAACTCTTCAACACCGTTTTAACTTCTATGGAACGATGGAAACTATGTACTCGAAGTGGCCTGCATCCCAGCGCTCGACCAGGGCCTCGCCAATGCGGACGTAGGGATCTTGTTTGAAGGATGTGTATGTATAAGATTACGCGAAGATGCATAAGGATTTTGTGTTAGTGCTGTTCATTCACACGTTGTGTAAGTTTTTTCCAGAGAGGAAGAGATATGGTGTTGGGTTTATAATCAAGCTTTTACGAGGTTTCGCTAGGAGTTTTTAACTGGTTGACGCGTCGAAGGGTTTAGGGCTCACTGCGTGGGCGTCTCTGGGAAAGGGAGATCCGCTGCAACCTGGTTTTGTCGCTGCCTCTCGGAGTCTTCGAGGAGCTCTTGGGAAGTTGGTTTGGGGCTTCCGCTCTGACGAAGCCGCCCGTGGTTTTGAGCATGACTGACACAGAAACCTAACCCTGGCCCTAACCCTAACAAGGCCAAACTCTAAACCCTGGAGAACTCCACTTGCAACATGAGCCCGAGCCGTGTTGAAGGTACTTCGGTTCATGAAGGATTTGACTGACTGATTGGGTGCGTTTTGATTCCGGCCTTCGCAAGGTGATCACCATTGTGATGGTGATGGTCATGGCGAGCATGACGAAGATGATGACGATGACGCTGGCCACGATCATGATCATTCCCAATTAAGCCGTCATCGTCTTCAGCATCGATTCCGTCATTTTTGGTGATCATGCTACTGCACTCTGTTCGTAGGAAGCCCAGTATGACGGACGCTATGCTTGTTGTCCGAAGGCGCATGGGCACAAGCCGTTGTAGCTTTACATGTTCGTCACTTTGCATATTGGAGGAACTAGTGCGGTTTTGCGACTGCGTGGTGATGACCATCATTACGATCTCACAGGGTCCGAGAGCAGTGTAGTGACTGTACTGTGTACTTGGGCGAAGTCTTGTCAGGACGAAATACGTCCTGGACGATGTTTTCTAGTCTGATGAAAACCCCAGAGGAATCTTCTCGACCCTGATCCTTGAGGTCCTATGACGACCCCTTTACGGCGTCTAGGCTTGAGCGTCCGCTGCAAAGGGGCAGAGAATCCTCAAGCATTCTAGCTGCCGAAAAAATTACATCGAAGTTCTGTACCTCTCAGCTCGGTTGGGGCCTCTGGTTTCAGCTGGACTCGCACGGTGTCGTGCGCTTTCTCAAAGGGGACGCATGCGCGGCAGTCCAGCATCGTCAACCTCAGCTTGTTGCAGTGTTGGGGTCCGGAACCCTCAAAGGTGCAGCTCAGAGGTTCAGAGCCTTTAGAGCTTTAGGGTGTAGGGTTTAGGGATTTAGGGTCTCGAGAAGCTTCGTACATAGGACAAGCTCATAAGACCTCGCCCGATACGTCACAGGTGTACTCCCTCTAGGCGCTGCAAGCACTTCGTCGCCATACATGCTCTCCATCGACCGAAGGATCGAGGATGAAAAGCCACGACACGATCTGACAGCAGCAGTCTGTACATTGACCCAGAAAGCTCATATGCAAAGCCGAACACCCAACCCAAAGATTCCCCAAGATTCCCCAAGACTCCAACACCCCAATGCCCAAATTAAACCCTGTAGCCACGGACCCCCCCTCGGGCCAGAGCAGGGTCCCAAGGATGAGCAGAGCTTGGCTATTGCTCTGAGCCCAAAAGTCCGCACGAGGCTTCGGAAGAGCAAACCAAGGCGAACTTACGGATGCGACAGAGGAAGCTCGGTGAGAAGACTCCTTCGTCTACTCTTCGCTCCCGACCCCAAACACTCCTAACAAGTGCTCCGCTTTCTGCGCCTCCTCCTGCCGCCGCTGCATGGCTTTCCTGAACATGGAACAAGATCTGAAGGCAGATCAACGGAGTCAGCCGTCGTCAAATTCTGAAGCGCTCTTCATGCCTTGGGTTGAGCGTGCCGGAGTTCATAAACTTTGCTCACTCATCGATCTCGCGGTGTCGTGCGACAGACCGACATGGGGCTTGAGATGACACTGGGCGGCCCCTCTTTACAAAGAAATGCTTGGTTGGCCGGAGATGCTTCAGTTTCAAAACCCAATCGCTCGCGCCAGAAGCGATCGCTTGTAAATCGGGCACCCACGTCTGCCTCCTGCGCACGACCTCAATAATTAGAATGGTTCTTGGGTATGTTCCCTTTTCAGACCCTACATTGCTCATCGTCTTATTTTTTAGTCCCTGCAAAGCTCACCGAGCGCCCGAAGTCCAGAGCCTTTTTTGCCAACCCCAGCACCCAAGCCCTGCACGAAAGGCAACCTTCTCCCTTGTAAGCCCCGTGAAGCCTGAACCCTCCTACCATATAAGAAAAACCATTGCAGTGACTACCCCTGGCCTGGCCCTCACTGCCCGCACCTCTGCGGTGCTTCCAGCCTGCGACAACCAACGCTTGGCTTTCGTGGATCTTCAAAAGAATCTGTTTTCAGTGTTCCATCAATCTAGTAAAGAGCTCTAGTGCAGATCTTCAAGGGGGGGAAGCCAAAGCTTTGGGTTTTGGGATGCTTAGCTGGAGGTAGTTTAGCTTCAGCCCACGGGAAACGGTAGCTTTTGCAAACGTGTGCAGCGGGCAGAGGGCAGGCCGGGCTTTGAACACAAAATCCCTACCCGGCCAGGGCCTTGCAAGTAAAGCTCAATTTTTGGTGGTGCTTCTCCTGATTCCGCTGCTCGCCGGGCCTTAAACCTCAAACCNNCCCCCCCCCAAAAAAAAAAGAGGCTTCTTGGCCTCGATCCAGCGCCGGTCCTCGTCACTCAGCTCAAGCGCCTCGCGCAGCCACGAAGCACGGTCGGTCGGTGACACGCTCCGATCAGAATTCAGAAGGACATTCAAAGGACAGAGGGTATAGTCTTCAGAACTCCCGTCTAATCACAAGAACGGACAGCGGTTGTGGAAGATCTCCCCGTCTGTAATTTCTCGCAGAATGTCCGTGCAGCTCATTTCGAAGATGCTTTTCACCAGTAGCTTTGCAGGCTAATGATGGCTACTGCGATAAGTCTGGTGTGCATGATGATCCAAAGCAAATGCATATTTTTGCTGCGATTATTGGCGCAGGTATTCCTGGCATCAACTAGGCATCCACGTCCTTGTCGAAAGAAGTTGCATACTGGCGTGTTGCACGTGCTGCTCCACCGGAAACGCAAGCGACATGCATCGCCTCCGACACATCACAGCATCTTCTGGTCATCATGAGCAACCCAGAATGTTACGTGCAATGCACAGTGGGGGTCTAGCACAACTCCTTCTCAAGCTTTCAATTTCAGACATGTGCTGGCGCAGTGCTTTGTACGCCCGGCCGCCCGAAAGCTCCATCCCAAAGGGTCCTAAGTACTGTTCTGGGGAATACTTCCCTGAATCAGAATTTACTGCGAGACCGGACATTCTATTACAGAGTACATAGGAGCCTTTCGGATTGAAAAGACTTTTCCTGTCCGCAACCCAATGGGCACTCGCCTTTCGGTCAACCGCGGCAGAGGCCTTTGGCGGACGCCCAGGGCTTTGCGACTCTACGAACCGTTGCAACTGTATACGCCTGTGGCAGACAGGTTTAGATTTTTGAGAGAGAGATGCAGACATAGCGTGGGACTACGGACACAAAAAACAGATGTGGAAAGCGGTAGCAAAAAGGTTTCTGTCACGAGCCCCAGCGAGCCCGGTAGTTTTCAATCCGAAACCTACGTCGATCCAGTCAGTGAGCCCTTTAGTGTTGGGCATGTCTGAGTGAAGTTTTATACACACGCAAAGCCCAGCCACGTCCTCCAAAACAACTTCCGGTAAACTTTTTCGGGCTCCGAGCGTGGAGGGATTTCGATCTCTGAAGGTGGCGCTCGACGGCCTGTTGTTCCTTGGGCTTTTGCCGCGACGTCGGCAAAAAGCTTCACGCGGCTGCAGGGAGGGTTGGCACGGTTAGTTGAAATGCGCAGGCTGAGGGACCGCGTCTTCTAGCAGAGAACAACAGCATGCTGAAAAACAGTATATGCACCACTACCATGCATCAACATCACCAGCAACAGCATCGGCACCAGCATATCTCATCATCATCGTCAGCATCATCATCATCAGGACTAATTTTCTCTGCACCTTCAAAGTATCGCATCAGTCTCCGTTCCGAACTCCAAACCCGCAATTAGCGCTCCCAACTCCCCCAAACAATTCCGCCAAATCCATAATCTATCGAAATCTGTTCTCGAGGGCCCCACCCGACGCGGAAGGCGTTCGCAAGACATGCTTCGCCTGGGATTTCGTACAGGATTCGAAGGCCCAGATGTAAACCCTGAACCCTACGCCCTGTAGCCCTAAACCCTGCAGCCCAAACACCCAAGTGAACCCTGACAGAAACCTTCAGCCCTGCACCCGAAGCCTTCGGCAGCCTGAAGGAACTTCAGTTGCGGGCCCAGTTTTTTTCATAGGCTCTTTTCAACTCAGGACGAGGCGATCCTGCAACCCCCACCTATGGCAAACGAAGGGGCCTCGAAAAAGGTAACACCTGCGTTTCAGGTTTTTGGGGTTTCTGGTTTAGGGCTTAGCACTCAGCCTACGTCGTGTGGAAAAGCGGCTGAAGCTACTTTAGACAAATCCTTTATCGCGACATGGCCGATGGAACTAGCCAGTCTGTCAGGTTGAGATGGTGATTAGCGGGTAGGCTTCTTACATACATACATACATACATACATACATACATACATGCATACATACATACATGCATACATACATACATACATATGCATACGTGCATATACCCGTGCATGAGCGTGTTTTTGAGTATATACGCAAACACAATAATTAACATCCTGTTGACAGAATTTGTTGGAAAGAGAAACAGACAGAGGGAGAAAGAGAGAGAGAGAGAGAGAAAAAAAAAGAATCAGAAATTGCCACCCAATTGCCACCTAAAGCGGATTCCAATTTGCTCGTAAACTTGACGCACACAGCCTTGCTCAGACTTGAACAACCCCAAATCCCTAGCCCGTAACATGGCTAAAACCCAAAACCCAGAAGAACCCGACAACCCTCCCTGAAGGAACGTATCAAGCAAGTACAAAGGGCTTCCTGTTTCGATTTAAGTAAACATAATCAAAGGAACCCGGAGTCCCCCGAAAACCCGTAACCTCAACCTAAAAAGGATCCCAAAGATCCCAACAAAATCTAAGTAATCTAAGGCCCCGGACGCATCGCCACCTCGCCGGGATCCTGAGGAGCTGCGGTGCCTCACTGGTTTTGAAGGGTTTTTATAATGTCTTTGGAGGTTTAGGGCTTAGGGTTTGGGCGTGTAGGGCTTAGGGGTTCAGCGCTTTTGGGGCTTAGTGCGCGTGAGGCTGTGGAGGATGTTAGTTTAGTTTGGGGCCTCTTTCCTGAGCATCTCCATCTCCAGCGGTTTAGGGGATTGAGTTTTCGGGTCAGCCGGGTCAAGGACTTCAGCAGTTTAGGGTGTTGGGGTTCGGGGCTTTCTGGGGTTTCGAAGTTGACTCTGGACAGGAGCAGTATCCGAAACACCGGAGCACAAGCTAGGCATCTTCGTCAGCCCCACGATCCCCTGAAACTTTAGCTAAACTCTACATTTGTGGATTTCCTGGGATGTAGGGTCAAATCAGGTACGAGTAGAACGGATCAGAGGTTGGGAAGTCCAGCACAAGCAAGAGCCATGGCGGACTAGCAGTTAGTAGATTTGCGACGACCTGCGCAGGCACCTATCAAGATCGGACCTTTTCAAGCGAACCTTCAGCCTTTGCGGCTCGGAGGGACACCGCCCCTCGGAGGCCCTGGGCCTGAGAGGTTACGCTGCATCCGTCTCCGGGGTCCCCGTGACCTTCGGCTCGGGCCTGCCGGAAAGCCCTCTTCTGCAGACTTGAACCATCAGCGACGCCGTCCGGAACAGGTTCACGACCAAGACGGATCCCAACAAAAGGTACCTCGGCTTCTTGTGGGGTCCTCTGGCTTAGATGGACACCGCAGCACTTACACTAGATATGAACAAAGGAAAGGTCATTCCGGAGAGAACCACGGTACCACACCAAGGGGTAGATCGTGGAGAAGGTAACGGTGAAGCCTCCGTCCTTTGCAGCCAGATCTTCCTCCAGCATGATCATCACTCGTCGGATGATCACGAAGGTGCTGAAACCTGCGCTATCGGCGCTAAACGATGAGCCGTTCATGGCATCGACCATTAAAATCATGTCGTCTTGCCGGCTAGCGCTCTGAGCCCCAAGCCCGGAGGCCTCGGTCTGCAACAGACAAATAGGAACAAAAACAAGGGTCAAGCAGCCGAGGATGATGTTCGTCGCGAGGAGGTGGGCGATCATGAAGACCTCGGGTTTTTCAAAGGCTCTTCTGAAAAGTGGCGAAACGTGAAAGGGCAAGGCGATCAGCAATTTTCTTCTTCGTTCATCACATCTTCGGATGCTACTGCGGGCGGAAACAGGTCTGCGCATGGCAGACGAAAGACCATGCCTTTACCTGGATCTGTCTCCGAAATTCAGCAACTCAAATTGCAGGCACAAACACGTGCTCGCACCTGCAGTCCATGCAGCCAGAGTTCAAGCCAGCATCAAGACTAGCCAACACAAGGCGAGGCACGTTGAAAATGTAGCTGTGCTCGTCCACGAGGGGCATGTCCTTAGCTTCTTCCTGCAGGCACCTTGGAGACTATCTCACGGAATGTGAGGGTTGGAGGTTGTAGGAAACACAGGAGAGTCTGGAAGTGAGGAAAGTGAAGATGAGACAACGACTTCAAAAACGTCGACAGTGACAGCTCAGATTTGCCTGATCGGCATGGGAGACTGGCTGCGGACGTATGCACCATACCATCACGATGCTTCTTGGTACCATGGCTGTCGGTGCTGTCGCTAGGGCACAAGCCAGAGATCTGAAGCCCCCGAGCCGAAGAGGTCCGACGGAAGAAAAACAGCAAGAGCCCAGAAGCACCAAGGGGATCGACAGGAGGGATTAGATCCAACATTGCTCGGTTGCTGTAGTTGGCTCCAGGGCCAGCCGAGGCTCGATAAGCATCTGAATGGGCCACCACTCCAGAAATACGAGCTCGCGCAGACCCGTAAGGAAGGACCCAGGCGCCTCTCAGCAAGAGAGGCTGGGCTAACTACCAGACGACCAGACCACTTAACCCTCGCCTGCCTTCGTTGGTGCTCTTCGGGCTCAGTTGGGGGGGATTGAGGGCCTAAGAGGCTCGAATTGTTCGCGTCGCTTTTGGCTACAGCATGCAGAGGTGAGGTCAAAGGACGGACATTGGCTCCCGTGTTAACGTTCAGTCCTGGGTCTTGGCGGCAGTGCATTCATTTGTTCATGAGTTTGGCCTGAGAGACAGATGGGGTGCTTGTGGCCAGGCTAGTGCCCCGTCCTTGTCATGCGGAAAGGTTGATGATAACAATCACGAACAGAATGTCGCAATCCACGACAAGTACACTCACACATGGCAAAATACGACACTCGAAGTACTAATTTTGACGAGATCTGGGCATTTGTGGTGATGCCGGGGTCGGCAAAGAGTCAGTCAGAGAAGGCCGACCTTAAAGCAGCTCATGCATGTGGCTCGTTGATGTAAAGTTCTATACATGCGCTGCCTATGACAATCCTCCACATCACCAGCAGAAGGTAGTGCCTCGGCAATGAGTGGCTCGTCATCTTCATCTATGTCGCCTAGCTGCCGGCAGTGGCGCTCCTGGTCAGGGTGGAAGAATATCACATCACGCATGCAGCAGTCCTGGTCCTGTGGCTGTCGGCTGACATGGTTGGCAATACTTGTAAGAACTGCT